TGGGGTCATACAAAGTGTATGTACCAGTCTTACTTGCTGGATTCTTTTTAAGTATTTCCTTGCAAGATGTAGACTTGGCTGGAGGAGAAGGCGATGGACTTGGAGTAAAAGAAGTAGAGACAATTGATGGACTTGGAATAATAGAAGTGGTAGGGGGGACTGCAGTAGATGATGGAGATACAGACGGATTAGGCCCACCACAGCTCATAGTTTCACTTAATGCTTCTACACAACCTTTCAAAGACTTTGCAAGAGCTTCACTTACCTTTTTAGCACATTCACAAGAAATAGCAGCACCTACAGCTTGAGCTTCCATCTTGACTTTTCTGGCCTGATTGAAAACAGTGCTGGGCTCCTTGTTACATTCTTCCATAGCAGTAAGAGTATCAGTACATCCTTTGAGTGATTGAATGAGAGCTTTGTTGACTTCCTCCTGACAGGCACAATCCTCTGCAGTAACAACTCCATTGAGATACAGGAGAGACAAAAGGAGCCCAACAACAAACATAATAGCAGTAGTCATTGTGTTATAAGACGGAATAATGCCAACTGACACTACGAACTGTGTCATAGTGTTATATCTGAAAAACTTTGTAAATGAAGTGTGGAGTTGTAATTACTACGCAGAGCCTATTCAAGGTAGCTGGCACTGGGTGAGTGTTTGGTTGTAATGATGGCTACATGTATGCTTAATTTGATGGTAAAGTGATCAACAAGGCTCAAAATGTACACATATTATATGTCTAGATTTATAGCATCAAATATACTAAAACAATTCAATCTTAATTACAAGAGTATAGATTTAAATACAATCAAGTGATGAGATTCTAGCAAACCAGCATATAGATTCAACAACAACACACTAGCTGTATGATGCAAGGAATTTAGGTACATGCAATTCATCATATGACTTAAATTAATAGTTCCACAAATGGTGTAGATTATAGTGCATGCTGGTACAATGAATGTTGCTTGTCATCATCATCAAATATTGATAGTCTATAGCCATTGACATCATGTCCCTATGATAGGGATTATGATTATAATTACACTTGTACCCTATGACACATATCTACTGACTATACCATATCAAAAAGTTTAGTCTGCACTCAGCAGTATACTGGTTGAATGAAAGATTGCTTTAATGACTATGATACTGACAAGACAGAGAGAGAGAGAGAGAGAGAGAGAGAGATGAGAGGGAACATATTTACAGGATTATTTATAATGGTATAGTACTAATTAAAATGGTCATTGTGACGCTAATGACAAGCATAGCTATCAACTCATAAGGGTACATTCGTCTATGTAATAACTGAACCACTTTGTAACTGAATAAAGCGTAGAGCTGTATCTATTCAAAGTAGTTGGCAGTAAATGAAGAGTGTTTGGTTTGATGTGTCGGTGAAGTGTCATATGCATGCTCAAAATGGCAGCAACATAAGTTTAAGGTTTTTAAGAACTCAATTGGAACAATCATAGAACAATTTAAATTTACATCAGTGGCACGTAAAAAATGCATCACTCGCCCAATAATTTTAATACTGTCCTTTTACTTAAATTTATGCTGCCACCACCTTTGTGATTAGCTTTTATGAAATTGTTTTGCAAAGCTGGCTGTGTTGGCTCCATGACTTATAACTTAAACTTAATTTAATTTTATAATTTTAAATTTGATAGTACCGTGTAATGATAGTTATAGAGTTTCAATTAATACACAGCAATTCCAATGCTAAGCAGCACAAAATCTTCCTTAGAATAAGCTTCATCAGAGCAGAGCATTACTTTAATATCATCAGTAGTAGGGGATGGAAGCACTGCATAAGCTCTATCAAATTTTGTCTTACAGCAAGGAGCTTCAGCTCCTTCACATTTCTGCATATCCCATAGCACATCTTTAATGTAAACAACAGTATGTTTTGCAGTTTTCTCAGGGTTTCCAGACTCACAGAAGTAATTATTACCAATGAAATCAGGTACTTTTACAGTGCTACCTGTAGCACAAGGACATATTGGCTCCTTCTCTGATGATGATCCCATGAAAGTCCAGATGTGCTTACGTGGAGATTTTCTGTGTGTTATACTAAATCCATCAACATAAGCATCATCGATACTACCAGGTCTATTAGGGCCAGATATACCATCAGGTGTACCAAGTTGAAAAGCACTTATTTCTGCACAGACACGATCATACTGTATATTATGAGCTAGAACATTAAAGGGAGGCTTGCACGCGAAAATAAAATTTGAGATTATTGCTTATTTTTAATGTACACTACCCAAATAGACTATTCCTAGTTGCATCCTTGCATTGGACTTGCTTTGGGAAAGTTAGAGCTTGCTAAAGTTGCTGGTAGCCATTGCTTCCGTTAGGGGGCGCGGTCATTGATGACATCACAAGGGGAGCCAACATGAGCAACTGCAATGCTTTACATGCAGAAATAAAGAGAAAATAACTTGACAAAAAGAGGGATTATTCCGTGACAATTAATTTGTGGGTGCTCTAATACTTATAAAGACAAGGTAAGCATAGAAATTTTTTCAAGGAATGCTAAAATCAGAGAGAAATAGACTATGACAAGTCAAGAGATTTGGCATGACTTAGACTGGTCCCTATGGCTATTCTATGCTATGTA